TTTTTTCAGTTTGTAAATCATTGTTACTTATATAAGTATAAAATGCTGTTGTAATCTTCAGTCTATTTATTAGTGTTTTTATACGTATGAGTGTATTGCAGGCATGCACATAAGTGCACCCATGTCATGCAGTGCCCACAGACGTCAGAAGAATACATCAGAACCCCTGGGAAATGGAGTAATGGACAGTTGTTAGCTGCCATAGTGGTGCTGAGAACTGAACATGGGTCCTCTACAAGAGCACCCAGAGCCCTTAACTGAAGAATCATCTCTCCAGTCCCTGAATATTCTATAATAAAGAGAATATGGGAAGTTTTATATTATATTAATCAATGCTTTTTTCTGCATTTTGGGAGGGACAATAAATTGTCTTTCATAAGGGGTTCCACAAACTTTATAGCTAAGACTATTAGGAATTTGAACCTCTGAGTTATGCTTGGAAAGAGGGTACTTACATTAACAAAGTAGTCAGAATGAGATTATCAATGTGGATGTGATTTAATATTAGTAAGTTATCTTCCATTTTAACGTTCTCCAAACTGAGAGATGTGTGTGTGTGTGTGTGTGTGTGTGTGTGTGTGTGATGCCCGAGATACAAACACATGAAGCAGCACTTTGCTTATCCATGCCTTGGCCTTCCACCACATCACCTTGTCTAGTGATCATTTTCTTTTTTCCTTAACTTTTACAAAAACTTTATTGAGAATTTCACACATACATATAAGGTGTTTTGATCAAATCCATGCCCACTCCCTCCCCTCCAACATTCCCCCCTCTGAAGAGGTAACCCTAAAATCTTTTAAGGATTAGATACAAGCTCCCAAATACTTTTGACATTTTTGGCCTTTGGAACAGAGTATGTTGCTAAGAGGCCCAAGGACATTTTGACTTTTAGCCAAAAAACTGGCTACATTTCTTTGGGGTCTTTTTACCCTAACTGCCTAGCCAATTCCTACCTCCTATTCTTACCATGCCATCCTCTGAAGGGGTTACCCAAATTCCCAATAGGGAATAGGGTCATAACAATATTAACAAATAAATTGATCACCTACTTTGAGAATTATTTTCCTAGGGCAACTAAGTAATGTCTGTTCTTTCTATCAGGGACCCAATGATAAATCAATGCTTGATTTTAGTAAAGTTTATTCTTGGGAACCGGTGACTTTATTGAGCTTACTTAGAGAGCATGGCTGAGAGGTTACTCGGAGAAATGTGGGTGACCTAAAAGTAGCTATACTGGAGTATTTATCCAGCATGGATGATGGATTTCCCATAGTTATATGGGTCAACCCCATCTCCACAGTCTTCTCCAGCCTACATATTCCTCCCCAAGACCATGAAGTCACATACATTTAAAGCAGAATTGTATACAGTTGGCTTGGAAGAGGGGCTGGATACTCAGGTGAAGGTCCAGTGACCCTGCTTGGCACTCTTTAATGAATGAGCACAACCGTCAACAAGCTCAACTGTGACTATGTTTAGCGATCAGGCTCAGCTGAAGTCATGATGATGGTAATTATTCCATGCAGAATGGACTGCTGTATAGCATCATCTTATTAAAAGGACCTGTAATTTAAAAGGATTGGTGCTAGGAGCCACATGTGAGGGAGAACATACGTTTGTACGTTTGTTTTTCTGAATCTGTGTTACTTCACTTAGTATAACAGTTTCTAGATCCATCCATTTACCTGATGACTTTCATTTTTAGTCAAGCCCTATTTTATTTCATTTGACTATGGATTTAGTCTCTAATTGGATCAACACCAAGCTATTCATGTTAAAGGAGGGATGAAAAGCCAGATGGGAACTTATCTTCTACTTCTGAAGTTGCTCAAGTCCGCGTCAAGAAAACTAGAGCTACGGAAGATTGCATGGGGATGTGAAAATGGTCTTGATTTTCATTGAAGTGAGACAATTTCTTCTCAGACTCATACCAATCCAGGTGTCACACAGTTCCCTGCTAATATTTTCTATGTTCAGTACTGCAAGAGTTTCAAAGATAGAACAATTCATTGATGTCTTCTAGTCCAACTTCACGTTACATTGCAGAAATTTTATGGAAGATGCCAGTATTAAACAATTATCTAGTAAATGAGTGTGAGTACAAAGAAACTGGGTTCCAAACTTCCTCTTTAGCATTCTGTCCGCACCTCCTTCCTATGGGAACATAGTGCCTCAATGAAACCCAGAATTTCAGCTCTGCAGTTTGTGTCTAGGAAGATGTGGTCCAGTCAGTTTGATGGCCAGGATAGAGAACTCTAATCTGGGTAAAGTTGTGGCAGTTTGAGCAGGAAAAGAAACCTAGGCCAAACCACTGTTCTTCCACTAGAAAGTAGTGTCAGCCAATGATTGGATAATGTGGGAGAGAACCAAAGGGATGGTAGTGACCTCAACACCCAGATGACTTCTAAGAGCTTCCCTAAAAGTAGCTATCTGCATGTGTTACTCCAGGCAGGCATCGCTGAAGGTCAGATACAAGCAGAATCAGCATGACACGCATACTGTCAGCAGAGGTGGCCACTGAAATAGAGAGTAATGAGGATTGTGTCCTCCCGCACCTGACAGGGATGGAAAGCGTTTTCCTGGGTGCTACAACTGAAAAGGACAAATATTGACAGAAGTATCTGCCTCCAAGGAAAGGGAGATTTACTCAGCGAATGATACAATGCAGGGAATGCATGAGTAAATGCAACTTGAGGGAGAGAAATGTTATACATTTACACATATATGTTCATATATGAAAATATCTTTTAGGTATGCATACATATTTATGTAAAGCTGAAGTTCATTATCATAGCTGTTCTTAAATATTTACGGGTATGGGATGTGAATGAGTACTTCATTGGTTCTCTATAACTTCAAATGTCTTGTTAGCAAAACTTCAAGAAAAGGCCTCTTCTAGAAAGAACCATAGCTTTTCATAACTCTTTTATCATGATCAGGTCTTCAGGATCAATTTCTTGTTTGTACTAACTCTGAAAGAACAGAGAGTCCACACTTAGAGTTCTTAATAAATATTATTAAAGAAGTAGTCAGAAATATGAAGAAAATAACCTAGATGGGGAAGGCAACTTGGTAGAGAGGGATAATCCCGGATATCTATAGGTCTGCAAGGATTATGTCAGTGTCTTGAGAAAGAACATTGTAGTAGAATTTGGGAGAAAAGCCAAAAATAAAAGAAGTCAGAGTCCATGCCAGGAAGGTTAAGAGCAGAGAGTCAACACTTAGTGTTCTTAATAAATATTATTAAAGAAGTAGTCAGAAATATGTGGAAAATAACCTAGATGGGAAAGGCAACTTGGTAGAGAGGGATAATCCCGGATATCTATAGGTCTGCAAGGATTATGTCAGTGTCTTGAGAAAGAACATTGTAGTAGAATTTGGGAGAAAAGCCAAAAATAAAAGAAGTCAGAGTCCATGCCAGGAAGGTTGCTTTATAGTTCAGAGAACAGCCAGAACATATACCTTAGTTTTTGCATTGAAGGATATGATATCCATATTTGTAGCAAAAAGTAAAACGTATCAATAATAAAGTTGCAGCCTGGGGAGATGGCTCTGGATAAGAGTGCTTGCTGGGATATCTATAGGTCCGCAAGGATTATGTCAGTGTTTTGAGAAAGAACATTGTAATAGAGTTTGGGAGAAAAGCCAAAAATAAAAGAAGTCAGAGTCCATGCCAGGAAGGTTGCTTTACAGTTCAGAGAACAGCCAGAACATGTACCTTAGTTTTTGCATTGAAGGATATGATATCCATGTTTGTAGCAAAAAGTAAAACATAGCAATAATAAAGTTGAAGCCTGGGGAGATGGCTCTGGATAAGAGTGCTTGCTGCACAAGCAGGAGGATCTGAGTTCAAATCCCAGAACGCATGTGAAAGCTCTGTGTAACAGTGCATGTAACCCTCCCACTATGGTGGGTTGGAGAAAGGACCATTTCTGGTGCTGGTTGGTTGCCAGTCTAGTTCCAGGTTCAGAGAGAGACTATGTCTCCAAGGAAAAATGCAAACTGTGATGAGGTTAAGTTTTCTGCACCTGTGGCCTCATGATTTTCTTTTAGAACCTTGCAGAATACAAGTCACCTACCTGTAGTGAAAATTCTTTCTTTCTTTTTAAGGCATCTTTTAACTACCCAGCATCACACTCTTAAAGAAAATCGACTCTTCCTCTCCCAATAGCTATAAGTTGCCAACACTTCCTTAGGTAAAGTTGAGGATCCTTACCCACCTCCTTACCCCGTACTGATATTGTGCCTGGCTTGAGCTCACTGAAGTCTTGTGCAGGTGTCACAGTTACTGTGAGTTCATATGTGCAACAGCCCTGCTGCCTGGAAACACTTCTTCCACGTAGTAACCCGCCACCTCTAGCATCTTTTCTTAGGTTTTTTAATTAGCATACAAGGTTCTGTGTTTTATTTTGTTACTTTCAAATTCTCTTTGTTCTGTAGTTCATCTCCTCCATCCCCCTCCGCAGTCCTCTTAGCCCGCTCCTTGCTGATCTCTTTCCTCTTAGAGTCCCCATTCTCCTTTCTCATCATATAAATTCTCTCACCATGTTCCCCTGCCCTGGCCCTTAAGACTTCTTTCCCCTTTCATGGTTCCCTTCCTAGTTTTGTGGCCTCTATCCACAAAAACACACACATCTATACACATATATAAGAATTAAAATCTAGAATCTTCCTTTGGAGAAAACACATAGTATTTGCTTTATGATTCCGGTACTTTGCTTAATATAAAATGGCCTGTTCTGCTCATTTCCCCATAAATTTCATGATTTCATTTTTCATATCAATCTTGGATCTTACCACTAAGACACTTATACTTCCATGTTTAGTGCTGCAACATTCGAAATATCTAGGAAACACATGACCAGCTGATGAATGACCAATGACAGTTGCATGATATACACAACGGAATTTCATTCAGTTATGAAGGAAAATATTTCTTAAAGATGCCATAGTTATTATGATATAGAGCCAATTATGGGTCAAACTGTCTCCAAAGTTGAGTTCTTAAAAACTCAAGAACATATTCCGTTGATTCCTCTATTGAGATGTGGTGTTACTGTTTACCACAACCATCTTTACTGAAGGAGGATCTTGCAGCTTGGTTGTTGGTACCATTCACTCTCTGGGAATGGTCAGATCATGGCAACACCAGACATTGAGGTTGAGAGTTTGAGACTCTGGAGATTGTCGCTGTTTCCAAGATCATTCATATATATGCCGTGAATAATGTTGTATTTCAGACACTCAGTAGACTCATGTTGCTTACTCTGATTTTAGCTTATATTTTATATTTAATAACACTTTATTTTCTGCAACAATCAAATCTTTAGTGTGTGTGTGTGTGTGTGTGTGTGTGTGTGGCTGAAAAAGAAGAAATGTTCCTTTGTTTCTGAGTGCTTCTTTGATTTCAACATGCAAACTTATCACACTGTTGTATAAACACTGGAAACATCCACCTCTTTGAAATTTATTAATAATGACACAACAGTGTGTACACACATCAGTATTCATCCCTATATGCTTACCCTGTACTTACTTTATGATCTAAGGCCTACTTTATTTGACCTATCACTATTTTATGTGTTGAATTTCTCGTAAGTTCTTATAGAACATTTGACCAGAGGACGCACTAGTTAAGGAAGCCACCACAAGGTGGCAGTAGACCTCAGTGCAGAGAATTCACTTCGGTAACAGTTGAATGTGTAGGCTTAGGGAAGAAACAAGCTTTTCCCATTGGCGAGTTCAACTCAAGAACTAGCCATGTACTGAGAAAGAGGAAGCACCAGGCAGGAGCAGCTACCTGGCTGGAGATCACATTCTACTGCAGAGTTTCACTGGGAAGAGCAATGAGGGCTTGTCATCCCACTTTTGTCACATTCCTGTGGCTGCAGCTGGACTGTGAGTAAATGTTCTGGAGGAACAGAATAATCAGTGGGCACTCCTGAGACGTCAGAGAGCTCTGTTATTCAGGCTTCCTCTGCTTACTATAGCAAATGAACATTTTGGAGAGTTAATGATATGACAGTCTTTTTCTTCTCACACAGGGGTGAGCCAAGGAGAGAAGGTGGTGCAAAGTCCTTCTGCCTTGAGTGTCCAGGAGGGGGACAGCAGTGAGATCAACTGTACTTATTCAGACAGTGGCTTGGACTACTTCCCTTGGTATAAGCAAGAACCTGGAAAGGGTCCCCAACTCATCATTGACATTCGTTCAAATTCAGAGAGAAAACAAAACCAAAGACTCACTGTCTCACTGGATAAGAAAGCCAAACACTTCTCCCTGCACATTGTAGCCACCCAGCCTGGAGACACAGCCCTCTACTTCTGTGCAGCAAGTACACACTGCTCCCCAGGCACCTGCAGCCTGTCCTCAAACCTGCCCCTGGGGCTGGAGCTCCACTCCAGGTCTTTGTCAAAGATCTTCTAGCGCATCATCTACCAGACATTTGTTTCCAAAGGAAGCTATCATATAGAGACTAAAAACACATCAGAAAGTAAGTTGCAAAACACTCAAAACAATTTAGAATATTTTGTTAACTTATTGTTGTTGAATATATTACTTTTCAATTTATGTCTTGTATCTATTTAGGGTAGAAAGCATGATATTTTAATACACATCAGCAGAAAGAACAATAAGGTATTAGACAAAGAGATGCACTGGCCAGGGTTTGGGAAAGGCTAGTGAAGCCTCCGTCACCTGTGCAGCATGCCAAATTGAGGAACATCTATGTGCTCTGCAATGCTAGAACTGCTGCAGACAGAGACTTAAAGGAACCAGTGGCCTTTGTCTTGACACGTGCTTTAGTGTGGCTTTACAATTGCTTTGCAGACTTCTCAGTTAAATAAGCTGGGAAGATCAGTATTATACTCCTTATTATGCACAAACTTTTCACTCATTTGTTACTTTTTTGTGTCAAAACATTCATAGCACTTTTAGGAAGCCTGAATTTTGGCGATAGGAAGGATATTGAGCACATGAGTAATCTTCATCTCTGTCACTGTCTTTACTTTTTCCTACACCTGTTTCAAGCAATTGATCCTTTTATAAAAACCCATCATTGCTTAAATTTCTTTGCTGATTTGATTTCTAATTCTCCCCCCAAAATTGCAGTGTACTACTAACAGGTTCACTTGACAGTTATAGCAATTCATATAATCATTTTGTCTTAGACTTTATGCATAACTCTAAATACATAATCATATTCTAAATTTTATCAATAGGTATTTTCCAATAATTTAAGGCTAAATTTTCTCATGAAAATTCACATAATCTATACCAATTAGGGTTGTTTTACTAATTTGGAGTTTCCAAGCAGTGGCACTGAATGACACCAAACAATTTTTATTTTTTTAAATTTTTGGTCTTTATTTTGAGACAGGGTCTCCTTGTAGCCCCAGCTGTCCTGGAACTCACTATGTAGACCAGGCTGGCCTCGAACTCACAAAGATCCACCTGCCTCTGCCTCCCAAGTGCTGGGATTAAAGGTATGTGCCACCACGCCTGGCTACCAAACAATTTTTATATTGTTGTAGCAGCAAAGATATGGAGAGCTGAATTATAGCATGAGTGTGATTAATGCCTCTGGTGAAGACTATGCCTAAGTAGGTGACTTTATCACTAAGAGAACAAAGAATGGGGATGGGTATATAACTCACTTTAAACACTGTTTAGCAGTGTGAGGCCCTAAATTCAATCTCTGGTACTAAAAAAAAAAAAAAGTCAGGAAAGCAAAGAATTGGAATTCTAACATAGAAGTGAAAAATGCTAATAAAAAAAATTAATGTTACAAAGTGAAAAAAAATGATGCTGAACGTTTCACGGGAGAAGGAATGCAAGGTAGTATCATCTTTTCCTTAGGGAAAAAATTTTCTTGGAGCCTCATGGAGCACAGAAATCCTTGATTTAGTAGTCATGGCAATGCAATAAAACAATGTAAAACAGTAAGTGATAAGTAAGTCGATGGCCCTGGTAATAAAGTTGTCAACACATTGTATTAGAAGGAAGGCAGGAAGGATCACCAGACCTGTACCTAGGATTCCATCCACCACTCTCTCCTGCTTCTCACCTGCACTTAGACTTGGTAGGCACAGAAGCATACAGGGGATGGAAGGTTAACTCAAGGGGGAACTCTAAGATGAAGATTTAGTGAGACCACTTTTAATCTCAGGTGTAACTTTTTGGTGATGCATCTCTTTCTAATTCACCCACAGTCCTGTAACTACTCATTCATGCTCCTATAAGTAAACCCAATTAGATGAATGGCTTACCAAGTTAGATTTGAGTTGTAGTCCTTATTCTGTTATCAATGTCCTACATACATGTTTGTTCACAGCCCCGAGAAAAGTAATAGAACAGACTGCAAATTTGGTTCCAATCATATAAAGAATTCTGTTTTGGTAGTATTGGATGAACTGTCTCCTTCCTGAATGTAATTTATCTTCTGAATAGGTGGTCATTTTTACAGGGATCCAAGGCATCTCTGGAATGTCTGGAATGTTTCCAGAATACAAGTCACCTAGGTTTGAGTCATACTGAAGGCAGATAAGCACCCTGGCAGACAGATAGATAGGGAAAGAAGGAGAGATTTCTGGCTTCTCCCCCTTATTTTTAACTTGGGCAGGGACCCCACTCCAGCTGATCTACCTGGACATGTCCAAGATCATGTTATTCTGGTTATGTCTGCTTGAATGAAGCTGTGGGCCTATTCAGCCCCCTCTTTGTTTAAGTTGACCAACCAGTTAATAAGGGGAGGAGGACTTGCCTCTACCATCAAGACACTTAAAAGCCCAATCCCTGTCAGGGAACTTGGGTTTCAGTTTCTAAACCCCCTTCCCACTTGTGGGGAGTCTCTCACTCTTTCTCTGTCTCTCTATCTGTGTGTGTGTGTGTGTGTGTGTGTGTGTGTGTGTGTGTGTCTCTGTGTGTGTGTGTGTGTTACAGATTTCTGTCTATAATTGGCAGAGAAAATTAATCCAGTCAAGACCATTACATGGTAATAATTGCTTATTAAATGAAACAGCAAGAAAAGCAAACTTTTGACATCATGAAGGAACGGAGGATCATGAATTTATGTGTTTAGTTAAGTTGGTAAGAGAGGAACTCTGTGTGGTTTGGTAGTTAGATGTGCTTATGAGTGACAAATTTGTGCAAACCTCAAGGTCATGAGAGTTAAGGTAAAACGCATTACAGAGTCCATAGGAATTCAAGATGCCTTACACAGTTATTGATTTGGGTTTTAATGGTCCATGTTTGATCTCCAGATTTTCACAAGTTTAAGATTGGTGAGAACTAGCAGAAAATTTTTAACTTTGGGTCAGAGCTCCCTGTTTTTTATATATAGAAACAGAGTGTGTTAGTGGCAGTCCAGGTTAAATGTGTGAACAATGGACTGTTAGGGAGGAATAAATCTTTACTTGTGGTGAGTTTGGAAATGAGACATGTTTTTAGGTACTGTCACTAGTCCTTTCCTTGGGCCAACAGCTGCTGGTTGGCAGAGAACCAGGAAGACAAGTCTCGTGTGTTTCCCTGAAAGTGTTTCCCATAGTCTTGGGCTGTTGTTGGCTGCATTTAAATCTAGGCTTGAGTGGAAATACATAGCTATCAAGGGCAGGTGAAATCTAAAAGACATATGTATTGGCTAGCTCATCAACAGTGTGTTCTCTGTTACACCCAGATCTCGTGACCCCCCAAAGACCACCAAGGAGTCCAGAGAATATGCAAAAGCAAAGAGCCTTTATTCAGGCTTAAACCCCGGCCCTCAGATTTCACTGACTCAGCGGATCCGTACTGAGAACCCTGATCTACGGTGGGGTAGACTTTTATAGGGAAGTTTCACAGAAGCCCTCACATGCCAAGCATCCTTTAAAGTGATTGGATGGTCCTATGCCCTGAGTAAGGGGAAGATTCTTATTGGTAGGGGCTGTCTTTAGGGCATTGGAATGAGCTAACTGTTATATGTGGGGCCAGAAGTTTCTGTTTTTACCTTATAAGGCTGTTATATGCCGGGGCTTGCTTGATCTATAGCTTTGCAGGAGGGGGTGGTAGCAGAAGATTACCTGAAACAGCTAGTCAAAATGGAGTTAGTGCTGCCTTAAGCCAAGCAGATTACAGAAGCAGAAAGAAGCGGTTAGATGAGTCAGAGTCCCACATTCTCTAAACCTCTATAACACAGGAGGGGAAAGAACAGTTAAAGAAAAATATTATGATATTTATGATATCTAAAGGCAGAGGAAGGCTCAACTAAGTTGAGGCCTGGCATATGAAAAAATGACCCCTAATTGAAAGAGACAAGCAATCTCTCATGCATAGATCTAGTATAAGAAGGGGCTGGAGTTAGTGTTGCACTCCTTGATCCTTAGCCCTTGAGAGGCAGTTTGGAGGATCTATGTGAGATCAAGCCAGTCTGGTCTACACAGTGAGTTCTAGGCTAAGACAGGGCTACATAGTGAAACCCTGTCTCAAAAAAGAATGGGGAAGTGTCAGCCTAGAGAGACCTTGATCCAGAACAGGAGTGTCTCAGAGCATCCCTATCAATCATCACCTGTTTTCATGAAGTGCCTTTTGAAGAGAAATTTTAGGTCTTTTTTTTTACTCAAAGAACTGCATTGTCTGAGGCAAGTTGCTGGACTCTTTGGCACAGGAAGTCCTGTCCAGGGATGTTAGGTTACACTCTGAGGTAGGCAATAAATTGTCTATTTACATGGCTAAGATAGCCTAAGAGAATTTGCTTTGTATTTGCCCATTTTAACTCTCCACAGTTCCTGAGGTATTTAAATTTGAATGTTAACACAAGTGTGGCTATTATCTGGGAACTGTAGTTCATGGTCTTCCTGTTTGACCAGGCATCACATTTTGTCCTTTTGTGCTTAAGTAATAAGCATTCAATATATTCTCAAAATACTGTGTTCTTCTACTGGTATTAACAATTGTTCAAGGTAATGGTTTCTCAAATTCATTGAATCGATATATCAATACAATCTTTTGTTTTCCATTGTCATTGTGCTTGGTTTATGTCAAACAAAATGCTTAATATCAACAACAAATGATCTTTATATTAGCTACAATGTCACCCACATGTAATTTTGCTAGTTCAAATTTGTACAGATATTTAGTGTTTATAGTAAAAAGCCAGGAAATTCAAGGATGTTAAACATGGCTTGAATCCACTCTGTATCAATTTTAAAGACTTTTTTTATTTACAAAATCACTATCAGAGGTCTAGGAAGATAGCTCAGTTGGTAAAGTGATTGTGCTGCAAGTGTAAGAATCTCATTTCAGTCTTCAGAAGTGGTTCACGATTGTAACCTCAGTGCTTTTGAAGAGGAGACAAGTTGGCCAGGCAGTATCACCACCTTGGTGAGTTCCAGGCCAGTGAGACACTATCTCAATCAATCAATCAATCAATCAATCAATCAATCAATCAATAAAAAAATTGTAGACAGCACTAAAAGAGTAACATCCAAGTTTGTTCTCTAGCCTTCACTTCACACATACACACAGAGAGAGAGAGAGAGAGAGAGAGAGAGACACCACCATTTCCATCTGAACTTTATACCTTACATGAATGCAGGTACTTTTACTTCGAGTCTACTTTTACATTAACCCTCTCCCCACCTCATTAATTCCTTTCTGGTTACAAATTTAGATGTAGGAAAATAAAAGTATTTTCCTTTTTTAAAAAAAGAGAATAAGTTTGTACTGCTGTGCCAAGAAATAGCTTATGAGAAGCAATAGATTTTGATCTCTGCCATGTTTTTGAATAATAGCACCAGGGCATAGAAAAAGTAGATTTATCTCTGTTCCTGGGGCTGTTATTAGCTGTGTCCGCTTTTCTTTTACACTGTGAGACTTTGTCTTTATAACAAAAATTTCTTTTAGTATTATGAAGACATGAAATAAACCATTTGTTAGATTTAAAAGGTGGCAGGGATTGGGATTGCTGCGAAACAGAAACAAAGGGGACTCTGGCAAAGTGAGTGTTTAATTGGGTTTGGCAGAGCTGGTCCTCGACTAGGGTGTGAGGAAGAACCAGCAGCCTAATGGCTGCAGAGGGGTAGCTTATAAAGAGAAAGAATGAGGAAAAAGAGAATATTTTTCTGCTGTTTGGGACTGTTTTGGGGGCTGCTTGCTCTTTGGAGGGCGTGGGGTCTGCACCTGGTGAAGCATATAGTGTAAAACATGTTTTCTACACTTACAGGATTCTAGGAATTAATTGCAGCTGAGGGCTTGGATCAGCCTGTGGAGCACGCTCTGGTGATCACAATACATTGGTCATTAATTACCTGGATCTGCTTTTGTTAATTTGCAGGTGGTTGGGAGTTGGTTGACTCAGCTCCTCTTAGGAGCCTCATGGTTTCTGGATCTATACCCTATCACCATTTATTTTCAGTAAGGATACATGAGTTGTATACGGTTAAGAAAGGGTTAAAATGTTAAAGAAATTACAGGGACTCCATAGTATTTTTAAGTTTTGAACAACATTAAAATATATTGAATATCACATTATTTTCATTATTTATTGTTGTTGTTATTATTATTATTATTGCTACTATTATTTTGGATTTCAACATACCCAAGCTGGAGCTACAAGGTCAGCTACTTGAATTAATTTATCTTTCACTCAGGAATTGAGTTGTTTATTATTACTTTCATTTTTATTTTATGTGTATGAGTGTATTTCTGTATGGATGTAAGTGCACCCATGTAATGCAATGAGGAAGTCAGAAGAAATCATCAGATTCCCTGGAACTGAAGTTACAGATGGTTGTTAGTCGCCATGTGGGTGCTGGGATTCAAATCCCTGTCCTCTACAAGGGCAGCCAGTGCTCTTAATCTCTGAGCCATCTCTCCAGCCCCAGGAATTGGATTTTATAATGAAGGGTTGAGTAGTTATTGTGTAACCTGTGTGGTATGATCCGTTTTCAATCTTTGGAATAATAAAAATATTCCAAAATTAATAAAATAAAAAAAGATCTTCTCTGGACATGAATCCTGCTTGAAGGACAGGAGTGTGGTTATGAGACTGACTTGAATGAGAATTGTGATGAAGTTGAATACTACGGGAAGAAATTAATCCCATCTCACAGGTGGTCAACCTCTGGGTAGGAAAGTGTTGCATCTGTTCAGAGAGCAGAACAGATATACTGTGTGTGTCACTGGCTTTGGTGGAGATACAAGTGCACGATTTGCAAGTGTTTCCACCAGCCAATGTAGACAGCACTGAACTACTTTGTTAGAGAAACCCTCACTGCTGTGCCAAGAAATAGCTTACAAGAAGCAATAGATTCGGATATTTTCTGTGGTTTTGAACAGTATCACCAGGGCATGAAGAAGAGAGTTTTATCACTATACCCAAGACTGTTATCACCTGTCTTCGGAGTATCACCAGGGCATGAAGAAGACAGTTTTATCACTATACCCAAGACTGTTATCACCTGTCTTCGGAGTATCACCAGGGCATGAAGAAGACAGTTTTATCACTATACCCAAGACTGTTATCACCTGTCTTCGGAGTATCACCAGGGCATGAAGAAGACAGTTTTATCACTATACCCAAGACTGTTATCACCTGTCTTCGGAGTATCACCAGGGCATGAAGAAGACAGTTTTATCACTATACCCAAGACTGTTATCACCTGTCTTCGGAGTATCACCAGGGCATGAAGAAGACAGTTTTATCACTATACCCAAGACTGTTATCACCTGTCTTCGGAGTATCACCAGGGCATGAAGAAGACAGTTTTATCACTATACCCAAGACTGTTATCACCTGTCTTCGGAGTATCACCAGGGCATGCTGTCAAAAATTAATGGGGAATAAAAGTATTTACAACAGGAGTCTGACTGAAGGCCTCATTTGAACTGTTTAACAAAGAGGTTGTTTTATTTAATAAATTTATTTTTGTAATTTGTTCTTTGCTAATGCACTCATATAGATATACGTACTTATCACATTCTGACCACACTCATTCCCTCATCTTGTCTTGTCCCTGTACCACCCCTAACCCCTTTCTTGCCACAAAGTCCGCATCCCACTTTCAGTCTTTTTAAATGTTTATTCATTTATTTTTTATTTTTTACATGTATGAATGTTTTGCCTACATGCATGTAAGTGCACCCATGTCATGCAATGACCACAGAGGCCAGAGGAGTGCTTCAAATGCCCTGGAATTGTAGTTACAGACAGTTGTAGCAGTTATATGGTTGTCAGGAACCAAACCCAGGTCCTCTGCTAGAGCAGTCCGTGCTCTTACCCACTGAGCCATCTCTCCAATCCTCATGTCTTCTTGTTTGGTTTTACTTTGTTTCATGACCTACTACATTTAATCAGGATCACCAATGAGGGTCTGGGTGTGGAGCTGTCCACTGGAGCCTGAGTGACCCACAGTGGCCGTGTCACTGAAGACAATGATTCTGCAGTGGTCCTTGGACTACTAGTAGCTCCTCTGGATGGAGCTCCATGAGCCCCTCCCTCACCTATGATTGACTATTACAGGCTCAGTCCTGTGCAGACCCTATGTAGGCAACTTGTGCTGGATAGCTTTGGGGTCAACTAGACACACTTGGGTTGAGGAAGCCTCAACTGGGGAATTTCCTTCATTGGACATGGCGATTGTTGAGTGATGTGGGAGGGCCCAGCCATCCCTGGGAAGGTGGGCCTGTGTTGCATAAGAAAGCAGGCTGAGCAGGGGCCAGGGGAGCAAGCCAGTAAGCAGTGATCCTCCATGGCCTGTGCTCCAGCTCCTGCTTCCAGGTTCCTGCCCTGATTCCCTACCTTGGTGTATTAGTCAGGGTTCTCCAAAGAAACAGAACCAGTAGAATGATT